AGTTATTTCATACCCAAAACTAAAAGTTAGCAAATGGATATTTTTATTAAAAAAAAAAAAAAAAAAAAGGTTATTATACTACACACAAGATTGAATGAATTCAAAAAATTTATTGAAAAAATTAATAGAATAAAAGTAGATCAAAGAATATATATTTCTTAGATACTTTTATTTTATTGAAGTTTTTTCTATAACAAGAGTAATTGTACACAAAAATGGAAATAAAATTGTAAAAACTAATTTAAGAAAAAAGGATGAAATATTGAAAACAAATTATAAATAAGAAACAAGAGTAACATAGACAAAATTGAAACAGACACCTGTAAAATAATGGATTAAACATAAAAATAATAAAAGAATGTATAATAAAATTATATATTCACAAATAAATCTTAGAAAAATCAAATTACATGCAAAATGATTAAAATCAAATTACATGAAAAATGATTTACATGGATGTGACAAATTGAATGCAAAAAACAATGAAAAGATAAAAAATATATATAAATATTTAAAACTGTGGAAGTGTATATTTTTATTACCTAAATAAAAATATTTATATAATCTAATTATAAAATAATTATTATAATTACACATGTAATGAAGTTTTAGGTAGATTTTTTGTTGTGAAGAAAATATTTTACCTAATCTTACTCTTTCTCTACGTCAGTAAGAATTTATAGTGATAATAAAACAAAAAAAATAATACAAATTTGAGTGTTAATAATTTATTTTAATTTTTTTTTTGGCATTTGAGATGATAGGTGCATTAAAAAAAACTTAAGACTGGAGGGGAGAAACATCACATATGGAGAAAAAAGAAAGTAGAAGCAAAATATATGATGGTGAGGGTGTTTATAAGAAATTATTATTACTATTAAGATTTTTTTCGTTAAAATGTAAAATTTTAATTAAATTATTATTACTTAAGAAAGTGTAATCAAATTCATAACATGATATTTTTCTCTGTCATAATCAATTATGATGCATCAGAAATGGAAAAATGATTTTCTCTGTCATAATTGATTATACTTGGTAATATAATCAATTATGACAATTCAAATTTGAAAAATATATCTGTTTTAAAAAATAAATGTTTTTTAATACATCCTGATTTTCTCTATGATATTATTAATGTCCAACGGTCATTTTCTGATGTTATTTTTCTATTTAATTAATTTTTGATGAAAAATAAAAAACACACAATTACGGAATTCGAAAATACAATTTACATTTAATCAATTTTGAGAAAATAATTCGAGAAAGGTAACAGAGATATTCTACATCTTTTGAGAAAACTCTCTTCTCTATTGCCTTCTATGTTTTCATTGTTAATCACACTTTTCTTAGAGATTGACATTCTACAGGCTTCTACAATTTGTTGTCTCCATTATCCAGGTGTGTCTATTCTTATTTTTATTACCTTCATCCTTTGATTTGTTCAAATGAGGTTTTCATCCCTAGTGTGATTCTAAGGAGGTGTTCATCCTTAGTGGGATTCTAAGGAGGTATTTTTTCATCCTTTGATTTGTTCAGAGGAGGTGTTCATCCCTAGTGGGATTCTAGGGAGGTGTTCATGCTTAGTGGGTTTCTAAGGAAGTGATTGTCTTTTTAATTAGTTTACTTTTTATTGGTTCTTCTGCTGAGTTGATTGTAATTTGTAAACTGAATTTGAAAGATAGTGAATTGGGAGTCACTTTTGTGTTAAGAGTTGACTGGGAACTGGATGTAGGGTTGATTATACCGAACCAGTATAAATTAGTATGTGCTCTTCTCTTTCCCTTATCTTTTTCTCTTCTCCTGATTATATTATCGCTTCCGTTTTATCTGTGTTCAAACAAATTATTGACTCACAAATAAATTTTTAATTTGACATCTATTTTAATTTGTGCATCTATTCACCTCTCTAGATGTCATTTATCTAACAATTATTATTACTATTAGGATTTTTTTGTTAAAATGTAAAATTTTAATTAAATTATTATAATATTCTTATGATAAAATAATTTGCAAAATTTTCCGATACATTTTTAGGAGTCATAACAAAAATGTTCATAAATTCTTAAAAAATATCACAAATTATGGATAGTATATATTTAATTTTAAAAAACTTTTAAAACTTTTTAAATATTTATTTTATTTTAAAATTATCTCTATTTAAATATTACTTTTATGAAATATTGAATATTTAGAGTATATAAAACTTTACCATATGAATTTAATCATCATAACACAAATAAAATAAAATAAAGGATGTAGTATTTCCTTATAATTTTTATAATTATATTAAAAAATTAACAAATAACATAATTATTTAAAAAAAAGTATGTTACATGTGATGCACATTAATATCGATTTCAAAACATAAGTAATAGAATATGTCATTTTTCTATTATGTAATCTCATTTATTGCATTGTAATTTTTTTACTTTAATGTGGACCACAGTTCAGAGGAAGAAAATTCAATAACATACTAAGTCACATTATAATTGCTTAGAGTTGATTGACACTTTTATAATATACTAAATTATTTAAACCTAATTTATAAAAAAAAATTATTGAACAAATTACTTGTATACGGGATGAATTTGTTTATTTTTTCTGGTAGTAGGGAATGAGGAAATAATAAACAAACATTTAAATTTAATTAGAGAATAATTTTCTATACAAATGGGGACTATGTTATATATTTTTAATCTAAATATTATTATTATTATTATTATTGATATAACTATTTCTTATAAAACGATTAAGCTAATCCATCCATCGCAATATACTTAATTATTATATTTTTATATAGTTGAATAAAAGTAATCATATAATTGGAATTATAGAAATGAAAGGAAATATATTAAACAAATTAATTAATATTAAATAAAGAAAAAAATCTAAAATTGTCATAAAAAATTTAATTACAAATTAGATAAGAAAATTGGTAACAGATTAAATTATAAAATTTATTTGTTTCATATTATTAAGAAAGTGAGTTTTACTCGTCTCTTCACTATTTATCTTCAAATTATAATGTAGTCAATATTTATTTATTGTTCATTCATTATCTCTATAAAATGTAATAAATATAGAAAACGTAAACATGTTACTGTTATACTTTATTTCTGTTACTATTAATTTTATTAAATAAAGTCACTTATTAATACAATGTAGAAAGTAAATAATTAATATCTCACTGAAACTGAGAATATAGATCAATGTAAACAAAATTAAAACTATAATAATTTCAGATTAAAGTATAAATTGGATTAGACTGACATTTTCTTCAGAGAACCTGGCAAACTTCTATATAACAACTTATTAGCAGCCAACCAACAGTTACATACCTAATTACAAAGAAAAAAGGACCTGAAAAATATTATATTAAATTCTTATAACATTTAAATAAGCTGAAAATTTATTAATAATTAAGTATAACACATACTAATGAATGAATTGGCTCTTTTAAAAAGAACCAATAACGTTGGACTGCACTTTTCTAAAAGGATAAGGAAGTAATAATGTATTTTTTTAAAATAATTAAATAGATAATTATATTATATAATTTCCTCTCTGTATATTTATATTTTTAAATGGATAAATTTAGTTGTTGAATTTTTAAGTGTATAATTTTAATTAAGCATTAATTAAACAATTTTTATATAAAAAATAAAAGGTAACTTTCCTTTCATTTAAAAGAAGGCACTATCAAAAGCATGCTTTTAAAACATTGTTTTCCATGACACTTTCACAATCTAAAAGAAAAATAATATTTTAAAAGAGAAGAAGAAGATGAGAGGTATAGGGCTGAGTCAATGCCAACATGCATAACATTTATGAATGATGGTTAAGATGAGTGTTCCTGAAAAGGTAAAATAGGACAAATGGGATAAACTCCAAAAGATGATGGGCATATAAGAAATGCAGGAATATGATTGTTGGAAAAACGTCATGTTTTGGAGAATAATAGTATAAGATATGTTCGCTTCTCGTACAATACCATAAAGCATTTGCATGCACTTCACTTCCGGTGAGTCTGAGGCAGAACCAGAGTGTGCTTGCTTTCCTAGGGTTACGTGCGATCTTCTCGGGGAGCTTCTTCATCGGGTAAATTAAATTTACTCTTCTCAAAATTCATCACACAACCAACCACCTTCTTCTTCGTGTTGTTCCTTTCTCAACCACTAAAACCAAATAATAAGAATAATCATGCTGTTTATACTTTCTGCGTCCTCATCTTGCTTTTGCTTCTGCGAATGACAGTTGTACAATTGTCTTAAAAGGAAAACAAACAAGGTTCACGGGTTCTCTCTTGCTCTTGCATGCGTCATGTCCTTTGCAGCAGTTGCGTCTTTTCCTCTGTTTTTTATTTTTTATATAGGTGTTTCTCGTCTCGAGAGTAATTGATGGTTTTTTGTTTTCTGTTTTTAATATTATTGTTTTATGTATAGATTTTGCTTTTAGAAAATAGGAACAATGTTTTGACTTCCAGAAGACATATTATGTAAGGTTCCATTTCTTTATGCCTTTGATATTATTTTTCTAGAATTTCGTGCAGAGCGGAGTCTGTTTCAAGAATATCATCCGTCTTCTCATTTTGCGGGAATGTTTCGGTGATTTCTTGTTTCGGTGTTTTGTTCTGTTTTATTAGAATGGTTCAACTCGGCTCCTAAATTCTTGGGAATTTTTTTAATTTATATTTATTATTATCATTATTTGACCTGGATTGCGAAGATTACTACTAATACGTGTAATTATGATTCTGTCTGTAGTTTATTATTCATGGAATTTGGTGAAAGATACCGTTATAATCGAAAACACTAATCATTTGTAGATTAGGAAACATTTTTTCTGTTGTTGTCTCGTGGTAATTTACTGGTGCTTCTCAGTTATTGAATTTGAATCCAGCAATGGTGGCAGAGAAATGTCACCGTAAGCATCTGTTTGTTTACTTTATTGAGGATGGCGATTGACTTTATTACTTTGGGCTTGTTTTAGTTGAAGAGAAGATGGTAACTAGAATTGTGGATCTGCGGTCAGACACAGTTACGAAGCCGACTGAAGCAATGCGAGCTGCTATGGCAAGTGCTGAAGTTGATGACGATGTTCTAGGCAATGACCCTACTGCTTTTCGCTTGGAAGCAGAGATGGCAAAGACAATGGGCAAGGAAGCTGGTCTTTTTGTTCCATCTGGCACTATGGGGAACCTTATATGTGTACTTGTCCATTGTGATGTCAGAGGAAGTGAAGTTATTCTTGGAGACAAATGCCATATCTATATTTATGAGAATGGGGGCATTGCAACTATTGGAGGGGTGCATCCAAGAGCAGTGAAGAATAACGATGACGGAACCATAGACATTGATTTGATTGAAGCTGCTATCAGGGACCCAAGGGGGGAGTTACTGTATCCAACCACCAAGCTTATTTGCTTGGAAAATACTCATGCAAAGTAAGCACTTACGAACTTAGTTTAAGCTGCTAAACTGTGTACTCTAGATTTGATTTTCGCTTCCAGACAGTGATAGTCTTTTCACAATTTTACATAATGGTTGGGTAGAAATGCTTCCTTCAGGGATCGCAGAAGACCATTTTATTTGTTTTTCTAGTACTGCATCATTGCCCCCATGCGGTGTTACTCAAGACATGGGGCAGTAGTTTCAAAATGCAGCGACGCTACTTCGTTGCTCTGTATACTCTTTTTCGTTATGACTACCACACGGCTACTAGAATGATTTCAGGCCCAGGAAATTTGCTAGTTTTTTATTGGATTTTAAAAGTCCCTTCCTGCTGTTAATTGATTCAAATTTATACAAGCATTAGGGCTGATATTTTGCCCGAATGCAGCTCTGGTGGCCGATGCCTCTCAGTTGAATATACGAACAGAGTTGGCGAGTTAGCTAAGAAGCACGGACTGAAGCTTCACATTGATGGAGCCCGTATTTTTAACGCATCAGTTGTAAGTACATTTGTTTCTAGTTTTCTTAGAAGTATTTATAATGAAGCTTTATACATAAAAATTATGGGTAAAAAAAATCTCTGAGTTAGTGATCTCCAATAATAATGAACATAGAATGTAAATAATCATGCCTTGATCTGCCACTGTTAACTGCAATGAATGTTCAATGCTCAACATAAGGGGGGGGAATTTTATGTTCAATTACAATGCCCGGATCTGTAACCGCCACCATAATTAGAGACAGACCAGCTAGAAATGACCATCTTGGCTTTTGATTTTCTGTGTCAAACAGGAAGAAAAGGAAAAAAAGAAAAGAAAGGAGACTGCTTGGAAATGAACTCCTTCTGAACACAGCTTAATGAAACATATTTACCTGCAGTTCTTAATAAATGTCTACTTTTAGAATCTCATAAGGATCAAACACCTTTTAGCTCCTTTTATATACATAGAGGATTGTGAATACTCAATTTGTTGGTTGCCAATGTCCCACGAAATAAAATGGGTAAGTTGTCCTGTGGAGAACCGTGACTTTCCTATCTGCCATCCTAGCACTGGGCTTGGTCACAATTTATTAATACGGGTATAATTACTTTCATAAATATGATGGATATAACAATGTGAATTTACAGTCAAATAAAATTGAAAGAAAAGGTTGGTTACCATTTGAATGATTACATGTGACTTCTACATTTGGTTAGTATGAAGTGAGTTAAGCAGTTAAATATGATGACCCCTTCACTGCCTATTTCCACTGCGTAATATAATCTTGTCACTTTTCTCATTGACATAGTGCGAGGTATGAGAATAATATCTTGCCTTCAATTATATATCTAGTTTTCAGTTTTTGACTTCATGTATGTCTTTTGTTTCTCCCTCCTGCTAACATATGCATAATAACTGAAAGTTTGGCTTTTCAGGCACTTGGTGTTCCGGTGGATAGGCTTGTCCAAGCAGCTGATTCAGTTTCCGTATGCTTTCTTTTCTTTTTCCTCTTTGCCTACGATTCAGTTCATCTTCTTGGCGTTTGAAGTTTTCCTTTTATCTATCTAATTGAGGAAAGTTCCAGAGGACTGATTTTAGGACCTGTTTCATACCAAACTTGTTAGCTCTATAATACCTATTGAATAATAGTGAAGTAAACTGACTTTATTTCTTTGAAAATATGAATTAGGTTTGCCTATCTAAAGGTATAGGTGCTCCAGTTGGATCTGTTATTGTTGGTTCCAAGAATTTTATTGCCAAGGTAGTTTTATAATTTTGCAGGGAATTTAATTGCAGGTTTTATAATTGCTGAACAACTGATGTTCAAGTCTCGATTATCTTCTTTTTTTCTTTTTTATTTTTTCAGGCTAGACGACTCCGGAAAACCTTAGGAGGTGGAATGAGACAGATTGGCATCCTATGTGCTGCTGCACTTGTTGCCTTTCAGGAAAATATTGGAAAGCTGGAAAGTGATCACAAGAAAGCTAGACTTTTCGCTGGTACATTTCAAAGTTTTAAATGACCCCATGTGAAGTCCTAGTGATATGAATCTCAATTATACAAGAGGTAATTTAGGATCTTTAGGGTTAGAACCTTGTAAGAAATTTAGGAATTAGAAAGAAGGTGGAAGGAAAGAATCACTCTTTCCAAGGGAGGCAACACACAAAGGATGTGACAGTCCTTTGATACAGCCAAGGGTTCTTGAATCACTCAAGAATTTAGGAGAATCACTCTCACTAAGATAAAAGAGATAAACTCTAATATTTCTAAAAATAAACTCAACTTGTTATTTCTGATAAAAATGGTTCAGCTGATATAGAAGCTTTGCCATCAGAGTTACAAAAGACTCAATAAAAGAAAATAAATACTAATAATAACCCATTAATCTAGGAATTGAAAACTATTTAATGGAAACAAATAAAGACTAATAATGATCCATTAACCTAGGAATTGAAACTACTTAATGACTGATTGTATCTGAAACTGTGACAACCAAAAGTCAGCTATGCACCTCTTGGTCTCCCAAAGATTGATGACTAAATTTTCAATTGGGCCCTTATTTTAACTTAAAACAAAATCAAACTAAAGTTCATTAATTGATTAATTCAAAACATAATTTGGTCAACCAACAATATTTGTTGAAGAGCTTCCTTTATTTCCCTTACTTTAGCCCTTATCATAAGTCATGTTCACATCACCTAGTCTATTTCAGGAATTATATTTTTTTAAAACTCAGAAATCTCTTTCTTTTAAACTTACTACTATTCTATACTATAAATTTTTCCTTTCTTTCAGATGGATTGAGGGAACTAAAAGAACTGAGAGTGGATACCCTTGCTGTGGAGACCAATATAGTGAGTATTTAGAATTTAGTGTAGTGTAAGTTGTTTCTATGGTGAAACTCATGGTTGCTCTGTTTATTTGTGTTTTGAAGGAGCCCTGTCTTGATTACGTCTTATTTCTTATTTTCTGTCCCAATACTGAGCCTACAATGCCAAGTGCAAACAACATAAATGACAATTTTTTATGCATCCTTAATGAAAAACTGAGTTTTTTCTTTCTCTGATACTAGGTATTTATTGACATTGAAGAGGGTGTGCGGACTAGGGCTGAAAAAATATGCAAGTACTTGGAAGAACGTGGTATCCTTCTGATGCAAGAGAGCTCATCAAGGTGTTGTTTCTCCTCAACAAAGTTCAGTCTGTTATAAATAATTGAAATAATTGCAAATTTTACATTGAAGTCAATTCAGTACTGAGTTCTTTCTGAGTTTAGTGCGCTAATTATAAACATAACCCTCCCATCCTTCGAACTCATGTTTTGAATTCCTGTTTTTATGACTAATAGCTCTATTTGTGTGCCAAACGTAATCAGTGAATCAGCATGCTGATCTTTTCTACTTTTTTATAAACAAAGTCTTTAGTCGATGTGGCTTGTTTATCCATTCGTTAACTACTCAAATGTTGGAGAAATGTTGTCATACATCAGTTTTAAAATATTTTTATTACGTGAACCTTTTCCCTAAGCTTAAAATTCACTTTTGTTTTGCATTATTTTCAATGTTGACGGTGAGCATCTGTTGTATTTTCTTTATGTTACCCGGTCAATGATGTACAATGTATTACATGCATGATTTTTTCTTTGATAAAAAAAACGAAATATTTGTTCTGAAAATGCATTTTTGGTGGACTAAGTCGGGGGTCAGGAACAGGAGTACCGTTCGCTAAAAACATTATTGATGTCCTAAACTTATGTTACTTTCTTCATGGCCATTGTTATTATTTATCTGTTTCTATGCGTGAAGTGATTTGTTCATATCATATTACTATTCCACTTTGTGAGCAAGGCAAAACGCTAATGACAGTGCCTATTTATTTCAGATTAAGAGTTGTTCTCCACCATCAAATATCGGCAAGTGATGTGCAATACGCCTTGTCATGCTTTCAGGTGATAATTGACTACGAATCAATTAACCTCTTATTGTTCAATGCATTCAACATGTGCTGTTCTTTTGGCTAAAAGCTATAAGATGAAACTTGCTTTTGTTATATGTTGCAGCAAGCTGTTAAGGGAATACAAAATGAAATAGGCAACTAGTGGAAGAATTTGAACTTGGCACGTAGCTGCCATGTTAGTAATGAAGAAATGCCGTGTTCTATTTGCCATTGTCCATTTTATTTTCTAAGTATCCTTAAGGACACACAAGGATTTGAATCTTTGATGCCGTTCCCTGTCATGAATTACTTTCACTTCAATCGTCGTTCCCCTGCTAATGTGCCTCATTGTTTCTTTCTCTTCGTTATCTTCGTTATGCATGTATAGGATTTTGCGTAACCTTCGCAATATTTTTTTTTTTAAATGATATTTTGATAACCCAAAACATACCATTTTTTAAAAGCAAATCCACTTTTAATATTATAATAATAATTTTAATTTATTTTATTTTTATTAAATCGTTTTATAGGGTTATTTGTTTTGGTGTTGTCAAAATATCTCACCTCTTTTGTTTTTTATCACGTTTTATTAGTGGGTGAACGTGAATTTGATGGACCTAATCTCTCTTGCTCCACAGTTCCATAAATTTGCAACGTAACCAAGTTACTATTGAATTGATTTAGTAATTCATAACTAAAATATTAGATACGTATTAACTGCAGGATAATTTCAGAAATTCTCACAATATGTTGCAACTCAATTCTTCTTTACTTATCAAACCATGTACGTGGTGAGGTTTGTAATACATGTAAACAATTTGATACTAACAAGTATTTTATGCAAGCCTATTAAATTAACATATATAAAAAATATAATTTTTTTTAAAAGGGTATATGCATCATTTATCCCAAGTTAATAAAAGATGAAATATATAAAATTATAACCTTATCTAATTAAAAAACTAAAATCTGACAATGGAAGTATTTAATATATATATATATATATATATATATATGTTAATTTTAAGAAAACGTATCTTTGTTTCAGTTCAAATCACCTTGCACAATTCAATAAGTTTATACTCTTGTAAGTGTTGAGATTTAAAATCGAGCAGAAGTAGTATTACTACTTTTGGTTCTGATTTACTGATATGATTCGTTTCGAAAATGTCAAACTAAAATGATTTAAGGCTGAATTTTCCAGAAAATAGTTGAATGGTAATAATAAAATAGACGTACAAGAAAATAACACTTATTCTTGGACCGAAGATGGCATGAGAGCTATTGGACTCGTTGCAGAGGAGGGACGGGCCCATGTTTTCAATTATTTTAGATATTATATATTTGGTTACCAAAGAATTATATTTCTTCATTTTTTATAACTAATAATTAATGATTAATAGATATTTTTTTGGAGTTGAAAGTCATGACCTCCTAATATTTTATAATATATATATATATATATATTTATGATTTTGTTCCTAAATTATTAAATATATTTATTTATATATTTATAATTTTAATTTCTAACTTTATTTATTTTTTTACTTCTTTATATTTATTTATTATTTATTAATAATATATTTTAATGTAAAACTGGATATACATTATATTTCCCACACTACAAAATATTATAACTTGAAAATGATGGATTCAATCATAACACTACTAATATGGACTCCATAATATCTAACTATTTTGATTACCTGTCAATGAGTTACTCGATCAAATATTAATTTGTTAGTTGATTTTTATTTTAAATAAATGATACAAATATTAATATTAATTTACTTAAACTAAATATTTAGTTTGAATATATTTAATATTTACAATAAATAATATTGAAAAGATATATAAAGTGGTAAATTATATAAAAAATATGATATTATAAATAACATCAAAATATTTATATTAAAGGTTTTCTTTTCAACAAATTAGAGAACATAATAGAAGAAAAATGCTTTATAAATTTTTTTTATAGATCATCTATGTTAATAACTTTAATTAAAATAAATAAATTGTTCAAAAATAACTCGCAATAATATAATCGTTAACACAATTTGTTTGTATTTTTTTAGTGATTAATATAGTTGAAATCTTTTTCTTAAACTTGTGTCAAAATATCTAATATTAATATAATGAAAATCTATCAAGTTATCATCAATATTTTCTTCTTTAGTTTTTTTTTCCATCATTTAATATTTTATTTATCTTAATTTTTTTATCTTCTTTCTGCTATAATTATATGTTTCTTTCATTTTCTTCAATATAATTAATAAAAAATAAATATTTTATCTCTTTAAAATATTTTCAATTACACGTTTTCTTTCAATTTTTTTCATCTTAAATTATAAATAAAAATACTATTTATATTTTATAAAAATAATAATAATAAAGTATGGGGACACATACAATCATAAATAAACACCTATATTTTCACTAGTATACAATGATAACACGAATAAATTAAGGCGATTAATACCAAAATTGATATTTGATACACATATTATATAGAAATATTTGAAAATATATTATTTAAAAGAAATTATATTAGAATGTAAAAATATTTTGATATTCTAATAAAAGTTCTTTATTATTAACAAGTTAAGTAAACTTATTATTTTTTAAAATGATTAACATAATTTTGGATTTATCATAATAAAGAATGATCGTCATATATATATTATTTTGGATTTATTATATAAAAAAAATCATGATAAGGATGATCGTCATATATAAATAATGTTTCTGCGTCTGTTTTGCATGCATTAAGAGAACAATTTCTGGTTTCATTTTTGTTGCTATTAAGTCATGTTGACGCTGCGAAACACACATGAAAGACTTGTAAATCTGAAATTGGATTGACGTGCGGGTAATGTTAATGGCATGATCTCGTTGTCTTGGTGGGGGAAGAATAAGTGAGTGCGGTGGGTAGCTACAATCATGTTAAATTGTGAACAGTAGCATAAATGAAATCTGAACTAGTTTTTTGTTGTTTTTCCTTGTCAAGTTTCTTTCACATTTTCATTTTCACTTCCACTCGCTGCGATTTACCTCTGTCCTCTCCGATGGAGTCTCTGACCTGAACCTGTCTCAGGTGTTGGTGTTTGTGGTCGCTAGGGGCATCTCTCTTTCTTGGTAACTTTCTTGAGGTTAACAAATGCAGAGAGTTGTTGGTCACTTTCTTATCAGATAAACAAATGCAGAGAGTTATGAGAAATCATTGTCACGTGTTAACCCATTCAATGTTGATAGATCTGCACATGATGAATTTGTCAGAAGCAAATTCACATAAAGTTTGAACCTCGCTTCTGTTTCTTTCTGTTGCTTCAATACTTTTCCATACAAACTGAAAGCATTTGGGTGGTAAAAAGATGCAAAGAAAGAACAAAATAAGTGAATGAATTGAAAATGAAATATGAAAACAATAACAATTAGAGTATTATTGAGCAATTGTTAATGGTTTAGTATCAAATTGTTGACATGAAGAAATGAATGGTGGTTGAAGTCCATAGAAAGAAAGTTCTGATGCAGTTTCCTCTTACACTGCAGTAAGTAGCATATCTATCAAATGTGACTTTCTGCTTTAAAAACTTCATATTCTGGGAATTAGATTTTTTTTTAAATCCTTTTAAAGAAAATCAAAACATGCTCCATTAGCACTGCCACAATAAAAAAACAAAAAAAAATTGTGAATCATCCTTCATTTTAAGATTGGTAAAATTATGTTTTAAATTTGTTGAATTGATTTTTGTTTATATAATTAAATAAATATGAATATAAAAAAAATCAATTGAATAATTTTTCATAAGTAGAAATTAGATTATTTATAAGTTAATTTGTAGAGTTTCTGTAATATAATTTATCTAACTTTTTTTTCTAACTTGTACATGAAACATTCCTGTGTAAGAATTCATTTCATTTTTTTCTTATTTTTATATCTTTCTTTGAGTTTGAGTTATGTCTTTAAAAATTAATTATTTTCAATGAAATAAATTATCTTTTTTCTATAAACATTTAATTAATTATAATCAAATTGATTTCGAAAAATCAGTTAAAATAAATAAACTACCGTACAAATTGATTTTCTATCCCACAATTTGGACTCTAAGGTGGGAAATTATAGTCGATTTTTTATTTCACAACATTTCTTATAATTTAAGACATACGATAGTAAAAAAACAAGTAGAAAGCGTATATAAGTTGTTACAAGTGTAATATTATTTATAAGAAATCCATTATATACTATATTTTTTATTAATATAATTATATGTTGATATATTATAAAAGTTAGCATTATTATGTTAATAATGAAAAAAAATTAATAATATATTGAGAAGTTATTATTTCATAAAATGTTAAACTTTCAAGATAAAATGATAAAATGAATTGATAATAAGTAAAATAATCTACCAAATATTTAAATTATATCAAATAAACTATATGAAACTTTCTCGAACGAAATCTTTCGGACCAAATGATGTGATGTAGAACTTCTAACACATCTTTTATAATAAAATTTGTAGAACTTCTAACACAAATCTTATAATAAAATTTGTAGAACTAAATAAAAAGTGTTCTAAGAGCAATATTTATTATTCAAGACAACCACCAAAAAATATTTTCACCCACAATAAAAAAAACTACATGATACTAACATTCAATATAAAATATAAAACCTATTGAAAACACGTGACTATGTTAAGATTCAATATAAAATATAAAACTAAGTTCCACTGTCATAAAATAAAACAAAATAATAATAATAATAATAATAACAACAACAACAACGAAGGAAGAAGGTGTAGAGAGGTGGTATCCGATAGGTCTCTATGTTGGAAATGACAAAGGAGTGGGTCCCAGGGAGGATATTGTGACGAATGATGTACATCTAAACCAACCTCTTTTAAACCCAAATGAACAAAAATGTGTGATGAAATCTAACATCCATTAAAAATACGAAATATTATATAGACTTTGGTCCTGAATCGAGTGTGTAATATATCTCACATTTTTTAATACTAATCACTTTGAAGGGGCACGTAGTTCCTCTAAGAGAGGTTTGACCCGATTTCTTTAAAAAGTGACCTTAATTCACTCATTCTCCATCAACATTAACAACATAAAGTGAAGAGATTGAGATAGAGAGGGTGTGGTTGGATGCGATGAGGCACTAACAATTTGTTGCCACCCTCAAAGCAAATGTAGGAACAATAAGAAACAGAGGATGCCATAGTTGAGAGCCGTTTTGTTCCCCAGAAATGAAGGAGGGGACCATCTTAGAAAATGGGTATTTAAATGTTTTTTTCTTTCCATTTTAGGCGCAAACCTAGTTTACTCAAACTACAATACGTAGATCTATCTATTTATTGGTTCCTACCACAACCACATTAGCTTATAGGCCCAATCGTTGGACATCCCCAAATCACCCCATGCTGCCCTGCCCCTATTTCTAGCTTTTGAGATCACAAATCCACCACACCCCTCTTTCTTACCCTAACTGGAACTCAACATTTCCCACCACTTATACCATTTATACCTCCCCATTCTTCTTCCATTTTCCTAATCTCAAACCTTTACACATACCATCATTCTCAAACCTTTTCATATTGCCAATTTTATTACTTCCTTATTCTTGTTCAGTCTTTTAGAATAAGACATTTAATACTCATTCCATCACATTTCTTCTCCTCTCCGGTTCTACCATTTTTCTTAACTAAACCGGTTCATATAGAATTGGTGAGAAAAAGCGTTTTTCATCACCATTTATTTCTACTAAAAGATTGTCACTCTTCTTCGTATTGCCACGCCACACCCGGCCCCTACTACTGTCAACATTGATTGACACAACAGCCTCAGAAGCTGAAATATCTTTCCATATTTATTTATTTATACCGCAAATACATTTGTTCAAAATTACTCAATACTGTCAAAATTACTTTAAATTTATGCATTAGTTACGTAACTTTCACTTTCTTAATTAAATATTTTTAATATTCTTCTCCTATTTTTCATAGTTCATTTGTCTCTCTCTCAACCATTGTAAACTGCTATATTTTTATTTTCCACTCTTTTAATGTTCTATGTTTTGTTATTGTTTGAATTAAAGTTCACAAAGGTTCTTTAATTATTAATTATTATAATTTTTTTAATTTAAATTTAGATTTAAAATTAAGTATAATTTTTAATCATAATATAGTTTATATACTAAAATGTTTAGTTATATAAAATAGAAGTAACTATTTATTTTATATAATGCATGTGTTTAAAAAAATACTATTAAAATCATTTAAATCTTTATTTTTATACACATGCATGCTTAAAATATTCTAAAAGATAATTAAACTTTTCAATGCAAATAAAAACGTGCGAAAAGAAATGAATACTCCTTTTTCGCCTTATCTTTATTTTATGTACTACTCACTTTCTATAACATGTTAAGTCCAAAAACGTATTAATTGCGAGAAAGTCGATTTTATTTCCTGCACTTAAAAATAAAGCAAGAATAGGAGCGATAAAATTAATATTATTGGTACTATTTTATACACAAATTTTTTTAAAAATATCAATTGTTTTAGTTAAATTAAAAAAAGAATCTTCTTTTAAATCAATTTGGCTTAATTTTTGTAATAATTGTACTACTCCAGTTTATCAGCATTCTTTATCTGTATATCTTTCACGTATGCTATATTATTTAGTGGAAGTTTTGTCGTTTTATTTACCAGAGTCTTCGTTCCTTCTTTTGCTGCTCCTTCTTCTTCTCCCCCTTGGCAAATATGAATATTCTGCGCCACACACACCCATATATTTTGTTGAACTCTTTTGGTTCTCACTAAACATCATTCAACGTCTTGGATGTTTATGCATTATGTTCCTTCACCATAGGAGGTCATAACGTATGCTTCTCAAAATCATTAGAATTAAAACCCCTGTACAAAATTCTTATCCCTTTGCTTTGGAAAATGTAAAAAACTTAGATTTTGCAACTTATATTTCCGAAAATGTGTTGGATTAGCATTAATTGTTTCTTGGTTGATTAATCGTCATCATGAAGTTCCATCAATCTCTATATTTGTGAAGAAGAAGAAGTAAGAAGAATGTGAATGGAAAAAATAAATATTGATAATGAAAATATAGGATTTCTGACTTAGTTACATAGAAAAAAGAAAAAGAGGAAAAGAAAGGAGTAGTAGAATGATAGGAAAGGGGGTAAAAGATGTAAATGACGCGCTTAAAAGTAGAGTGAGGAATGTGCATAATTTGAAATGTCTGCTCATCTTTGGTCACCATCATCACTGCTTACTGCCAAACTTTGTCCTGTTTCGGCACAACACCCTCCTCTCCTTCATTTAACCCTCGGTTCTTCACCACTCTCCAACCCACGCCCACTTCACTACTTTCTCTCACATAACTCTCAGTTCCTCGCGCTTTTCTGGAAACAAATACCTGATTACCTCATCCATCCCTAAGCTTTACCCAGGAATCATTCCATTTCCACCAATTACTGCTCACTCCTCATCACCCCAACCAAACTACACACACTCCCCACTCTTACTAATCTCATTCACTTCCTTCCCCCAAACTCCAAACCCTCTCTTTCTCTCTCTCTCTCTCACACACACACACACACTTCACAATGGAACCCACCTACTCCTCTACTCTTCTTCATCTGTCACTGCCCAGGTTCCTGTCCTCCACCTCTCCCCAATCTCTCTTTCTCTGCATGATATGAATATATATATTATATATGAACCCTTTTCACTTTTCCAATTAATATCACTTCTACTATCATCAATATCAATATTATTATAAAACAAAACCCTAGTCGTTGCTAGAACCGCTACTTCACTACCTAACTAGCATCATACCAGCAAGATCTAAAGCAGATCCAAGGGTTTGAACAAGAAAAATCGGGGAGGGTATATCAGATCAGATCCATGGATTTGGTTTCGGAACCAACAAACGTTGCAAGCCCCAGGTACAAGATTGAGACGCCGACCACGAATCCAACCACTGGAAACGCGGCTGTCTCGTCTCCTTCTTCGGGAAGCAACAGTGGGAGCACTACTCCCAGCCGTTACGAGAACCAAAAGCGGCGAGACTGGAACACTTTCTGCCAGTACCTAAGGAACCACCGTCCACCACTCTCGTTGGCCCTGTGCAGCGGCGCCCACGTCCTCGAATTCCTCCACTACCTCGACCAGTTCGGGAAGACCAAGGTTCACAACCACCCTTGCCCGTTCTTTGGTCTCCCCAACCCTCCCGCGCCGTGTCCCTGCCCGCTCCGCCAGGCGTGGGGTAGTCTAGACGCCCTCATCGGCCGCCTCCGCGCCGCCTACGAGGAAAACGGAGGCCGCCCGGAGACCAACCCATTCGGTGCACGCGCCGTCAGGATTTACCTGCGCGATGTTCGTGATTTTCAGGCCAAGGCGAGAGGTGTTAGCTACGAGAAGAAAAGAAAGAGGCCCAAGCCCAAGGTCAGTCCTGCTCTTACTTAGCCACCTTCAAAGAGAAGCTTGCTACCAATGTTTCACGACAGGTATCAAATATCAATCGTTCGTATATTCTATGGTGTGTTTATTTTGCTTTTCGTTTTGTCCTTTGTATGTTGATCTTCATTATGGGTTTAGTAAACCGAGTGGTGGATGTTTTGTGCTGCTTTTTTGCAATTTTAAGGTGCTTTTGTCTCTTCGAAGACGTGCTTCGTCCTCTAGATTGTTGGGATGATGCCCTTGAAATTGTTCTCGCTTCTTGAGTCGGGGGAAGTAGATAGTGGAAAATTAAGAGCCACCACCTCTCTGCGTCAACTACTAGTAGAAGATATGTTATCATATTTGTACTCAAGTTAATATATATATATATATATATATATATATATATATATATCATCATGTTCATCCAGTGTATTTATGAAGCATGCACTTCAATCTCTCTACTCTCTCCTCCTGTACGTGAGAGCCTTTTTAAAAATATTGATTGACTTACAGGGGATTAATTAATTGGGTATGGATATTGAATAAGCTGATATCTGTGTATATATATACATATATATATATATATATATATTTATATTTATATTTATATATATTTATCTTCCATTAATTTCAAATGCTTCTGCAGGGAATCTACATATGTATATGGTTGCGTTCTAAAGGTGAAACACGCGTGGATTTTCGTGTATTGATTTCTTCATTCAGAAATTTAGCTAATAGCTGTAGTTTTCTTTCTTTTAGAAGAACACACACAACCATCCTTCTTGCGTGGCTTTCTCTCTCTGCATCCATGCACATCCGAGGGAGATAAGTTTAACTAATAGAAACATAATTATTTCTTGAGGATCTAACTTGAGGTCAAATTGAAACAGTGAGGGTAATATATTCATATAAATGACCTGTCAAAACCTAGAGGATATGCGCGCACACACCCACATATATCTATATATATAGCTGGAACAATAATTAACTAAAAGTTAAAATTATGAAAACAAAGTATTAATGTGTAGAGCTTGAGAACAAGGCTGACATAATTGGTCAAATCCAGTTCATTAGTTAATTGAAGATGATTTAGCAAATTCTATGATGTAGGCAATCAGACAAATGGTTTTCTCTATTATAGATGCCAGCTGAAGATGAGTATGGCAAAAGTAATTGGATATGGCCATGGAAAGATTAACTTTTGTAGTATTGATAATTCATTCGGGTAGGCTATTTGCCTAATCCCCTTGTAGCTTGGAGAACGACCCATTTTTTTATATTAAAAGTTGTTCTTTTGGTTTGTTGATCATGGACTGTCTCCTCGTTGAATAATTGGCTAGGTCATCTTGGGTTAAAAAGGATCCTTTATTCAAATTATCTCTAAACATCAAAACCTAATATATTGTTTGTTAGCTCGTTGATTGAATGGGAAAAAGTTTGCATTAATTACGCTCTAAAAGAGAGAAAACTAGACCTTTGATGACCATGATTGTAACTTTCATTGATTCTGCATAAGACAATAAAATAATTGAGAAGCTTTGGAAATTCTAACTACTCTTTAACGTTCATTTACTTTGCCCTTCATTTCAACTAGTTATATCATCTAAAAGGCCTTGTTGGCAGGAATAGAGCACAAACAACGTGGTGTAACTTAGCCATTTTATCCCAAGCAACTTAAGCCAAGTCATTCTTCTTCTATATTCATAATTGACACAACTGTTTAATTTTTATCTGTATATAATTGCAGAACAAAGCAGCCATTACAGTACGTAAAAGTTTGAATTTACTCTAAAGTTATCACGTCTTATTTGATATTTTTATGAAAAGAATTGCTATTTTTATTTAGGTCTTTTGATGTTTTTCTTAACAGCAGTTACTTATAGATATATTTTGACACACACACACACATATATATATATATATATATTTCCATTAAATATTTATCGATCAATTCATATACAAAATCTATGGGACTTTTGAAGAGTGGAAATAGAAGTTATTACGAATATATTTATGCTTATGCATAAACTTTTTCATAAGTTTAAAAAACTAAAATTAATTTATAAAAATCTTTTGTAAATTTATTAATTTTATATTGTGTTAAGTGAATTTTAATTTATGAAAAATATTAAATATTTTTATTTTTAAATTCTAAAAACCCTTATTAAAAGATTCTTCATATATATTAAGATAAATCAACTTTAATTGTGTGCATAAATTCGAAACGTCTTCCTAAATAAATTTGTTAAAACATCCTCATTTCCTAATAAAAACGAGAACGTAAGTGCAAGATTTGAAGTAATACTTTTTCACAGAAAATCTGTTTTTCCCAGACAAACACATGTTTCAAACTACAATTACAATGTTTTAAACTGTAATTTTCTTTTGTAACATTTGACTTTCTTATTTGAAAAATACGTGAATGTGCTGTTGCGATTAGGGTTAAAGGAAAACAATCTTAACATAAAATAGATTTTAAAATTTCTTGTTAAAAAAAAGGACTTGTTAGCATACAAAAGATAGTAATAGAAATAAAGTTACACAAACTCCATTGAATGTTTTATTAATGGAGAGTATTATTTAACCTCGTCCCTCCAATGTATTACGTTGTCAAACCTTTTTAGTTTGAAAATTACACTTCCTAGTAACGGTTTTAGGTATCGTCTCTTCCATTGTAATGAAACAAAATTATTATTCCTATTTAGAAATTATAATATTTAATGATTGTTCAAGCTTCAAATAAATTTATTTCGAATGAAAAGTGCATATCTACAAAATAAAAGTTATCTTTTAAGAATTATAATGTGTTACAGTTTAATATATTTTAGTCTAGAATAAACACTTACGTTAAATTCTTTTATAGCTCTCAACATTACCAACAACGATTTTAAATTTTAAAAAATTACTTCGAAAGAAAATGAATATTTTGGGTAGTGCATTTTATATTTAATGTGATTATTATAGACCTAAAATAATGATATTTTTTAGTAAAATTCATAAATCAACAATACAACTTAGTAATTGGTAACTTATGATGTTGGAGAATAAAATAATGCTTTTAGTATATTTTTCCTTTAGTTTTTTTTTATTCGGGACTGTTTTATTGAAAACATGTACAAATATTTTTTTTAAATTATATAATATCTTAATTTTACGTATTTCAATATTTTTTCTCTTTTTATTTATTTATTTATGAGTATTTTTATATATAACAATTGACATATCTTTATTTAATATAAAAATAAGATAATTATAAATATTATTAATATTTTCCATTCAATAATTTAATTTAATTTATATTATTTATTAAATATTATTATAATTTACTTCCTATGTATTAATTTTGATATTATTAATATTATTATTATTTAATAATTCGAGTTGTAATCGTCTGAATCTTTTTCATTGTCCTAGAAAAAATATATATTTTTTATATTATCTTTATTCGTAATAGGATGCATAGATGGTTCTTTCATGCAGCTAAAAAATGTTTTTTACCCCCAAGACTCGTGTGTTAGTGTTAGTAAGAAATAACTTCAAACTATGTGTTTCTTTACGTTGTGAGGAATAATATGTTGGGGGATTTTTGACCTAAATGGTGTTTTGGATTTATTAATGTCAAATCATAGTTTTGGATTAGCTCGAAGAAAAAATAAACATTTTCAGGAAGGTTGAATCCTTAATCTTCTACTTCAGGTGCCCAAACGTCCTATTTTACATATATGGGTCATTAAAACACTTTTCATGCTCTTTTTTTTGATAAATTTATTTTGTCTATTAAAAAAAGGAAATTTATTTTGTCTATTATTATTATTAGTATTTTTAAACATGTATACTAATGCAAACAATATATTATGACATTTTTTAGCCTGTAAAAATTAAATGCGTGGTAATTAACAATGTGTATAATTAAAAAGATGGTGATTGGGAAGTGTATTTTGAATAAACGAAAAAACTACACAAAGAACTTTCTATATATGCTTAGGCCTACATAGGGCTACATTTTACTTGTTTTGGGCATCAAAATAAAACATGGTTTTTGTGCCTACAGGTAGCTTCTGTTCTTAACCACGTGCTGCGTTTTCCGGTAAGCCTTTCGGAGTGGCAAACTTCAAGAAAGCAACAACATCAAAATATTTTTTATTCCTTGTCTTCAATTTACGAGCATACTTGTGTTTATTTCAGAATAATTAATACTCGTTGCGCAGATATTTCTCACGTGACTTCATCATTTCAATCAAATTCCTCTTCCTTTGCAATTAACTTTTATTATACATACATACATGCTAGATTTCCGTTCATAAAAAATACACATGTTGGACTTTTTTTTTTTTTTTTACATTTTTCTTTACAAATCAGAAACTAGATTCAAATAGTTTTATATTTCACGAAACGCTGAATGTCATTTTCACGGTAAAATGTTTAATAATTAGCTCTAAGAGATGAATCAAAACGCGTAAAATGAAACGTGAAGTCACCAAACTTCTGTATATACGTGTCGCATATATATGGTGTTTTTTAGAACCTTTTAAATAACTTTTACCCGATCTGGCATCGAGTTTACACTATTTTTTAATAGGAAATATAATAATTGATGTTGCAGAATAATATAACAAAAAAAATTTGAACGAAAGTTTGATAAATTAAAATCTAATAATAACAATAATTTATACGTTTGTTGCAAAAACTATTTTGGAAATAATAAGAATGATGTCTTTAAATGTGAGAATGATAATGTCTTTTCAAACTGCGAAGAGTATTTTTCTTTTTGCAAACTAGATAAATAAAAACTGTTAAGATCACATTAAAAGCAGTGTGATTAGACATGAAATCAACCAAAGCCAGTAAAGATGGACAAGCAACCAATATAGCGACTACCGTTGACTACCAAATATGTTTTCACTCTCTCAAATATAAATATTATTCCACTAAAATTGACAAAATAAAAACTCAAAATATATATAATACATTAATTATTTATTTTGTTTAAAAAATAAAATCAACGTAAAAGTAAAACGTAAAAA